TCAGATTGGGGTCTTTTACGCAAATGGTCTTCTCCCTAATTTTCCTTAAGGGTTTGTTTTTCAATTAGGCACGTGTGTCGTTTCTTGTTTGGCGAATGATTTAGAGCGATGGTGGGAGGACATCTATTACCATGCTCTGCCTCTTCATGGTTTGCTTCTCTATGTTTGATGCTTGTGGATGTGTTCCTATGGATCGGATCTGGAGGTCTGTGATTGATACATTCGATTAAAAAATCATCTGATCAGTTACGCGTGGGTTGTCCATCAGAGGGGGCGCAATTGGGACTGTGGTGGGAACATGGGACAAATTGATGGGGTGACTGGATAGGGTCCTGTTTGGATGGATTTCACCCCAGGGGGGATGCGATTGGGGGTGCTCGAGGGAGGCAGTTTCAGGATCGAGTTTTGAGTAAGGGAGAAGACAAATCGGCAATGTGCCGTCCTCCTGAACTGCCGTCATGGAGCGATCAAGTTGTTAGGGTTTGGAAGATGATACTTCAAGAATATTGGCAGGAAGGAGTTTGGAGTATTTTTCAATTATTTTATTTTTTGTCTTACTTTCACGTTAATTTTGTTTACGTTGCTTGATGTTTTTGTTGTAGGTCTACAATAAGGATTGACAATTCCGCTAGATATTACTCCGTATGTCATTAGAAGGATCTATATGGTCAGTGATTGTCGTGTCACACCCATTTAGTGATTAGCGATTCATATTGCTCTTTCATTGGTGCTTGTTTCTAAGTCTAGTCGTAGGTTTGATAGTGTTAGTTGGTTACAAATAGTTGTTGTTAGTGTTTGTCTTTTTGAGTTTGTTAAACGATCCGAATCCTAATGATATTAATATAATCAATTTTTCCTTCAAACAAAACTGTAATCGTATTTAATAATAATAAGTAAATATTACTCCGTATAAAAAATTAATATTCTGAAAATTCACATTCATAGAAATTTAATACTAGTAATATTTTATACATAATAATTTGATAATACATAATATATATTAGTAGAAAATCATGATCAAAGTAAGAACGGAGGAAGCGGTATATTCTCATTCTCATTCATCAAGAATAATTAGATTAAACAATATCCACATATGTATTGCTTATTTGGCCACATAAGTTAAGGTACTATACCTCTAAAATGTCTAAAGTACTCTAGAAAGTACCATGATCTTAATTAACATAATATTTAGCTCGATTTATCTTTTTAACATCGCCAATTTGCCAGCATAGAACACTTGTGCCCACCTTTAACAACTGATCAAGCAACACACTCTCACATGACCCACTCCAGAATTAAAATGTCACCAATTTCGTACTAGCTCCCTTCTCCGTTACTCACATTAAAATCACATGTTCTACTCTGGTTAGATTTTATTTATTAATGTCTTGATATTTTTTATTTTTTTATTTGATTGATTTCTTGGTAAATTTTCAAAATTTCTTTTTTATTTTTATTCTCGCCCAGCCCCCTGCCGCGAGTCAAGGCCGCAAGGAGTAAGGTGAGGGTAAACGTTAGCTACTATTTTTGCATAGATTAGCTAGCATTGATAGTTTTTGATACATTGTACTATGTTACTTTTGGATGATTTTTAATATATATTTACCTTTCATTAAAAAAATATTAATTGTCAAAATTATTAGGGGTGGCCGGGCACGATCCGGTCCAGTCCGATATTTTGCCAAGCCCGTACCCGTACCGTGACTATTGAAACAGTTCGGTTCGGTTCATTCATAGACCTAAACCCGTTCAGTACGGTTCCATTTTCAAACGGGACGGTACCATGCACACCAATACCAAATAATGTCACTTTTTCCAAGTGTTTAAAGGAAAATTAAAATTTAGTCATCCTCCGAAAATCCGCACAATTTATCAATTTTCATATTACATAATAAATGAATTTCAATTAAACTATAGTAGTACAAATTTAAATAATTAAACCATACTTCGGTCCGGTCCTAGGCTTCCAGCGAACTAGCAAAGACTGTGAAAGCGCGAAGGCACTCATCAAAGTAATGGTATACATTTACATTTAAATAATTAAATCATACTTTGGTCCGGTTCGGTCCGATACCGGTTCTCATTTTATGGTACGGTCCAGTTCAGAAAAAAATTGAGATCCGTTTCAAACCCCGTTTTTTGGTTCGTATCATACCGGTCAAGTTCGGTAATTTTGCCCTCACCTCCCCTAAATATATTTTTGCCCCTAAAAATTATGCATCAGAAAATGTGAAAAGTTGATCGTTACACCTATTCAAGAATGAAGGAAATATTAGTTTATTTATTTTACAGAGTATTTCATATACAGACTGCTTCATTCGAATATATTTTTCATTAACACCAAACAATATACTATCTCTATTTTTTTAATTGCAACAGTTTGACTTTCATGTTTGACAACACACAAGTTGGACCATAATTCTATATAATTACATATATATTAATAAGAGAAGTCTCACTTTTAGTTTCTCAAATAGTAACCACATTGAAACGTAATCACCTTGTTTTTGAGTTTGAAAATGTCACGCTCAATTGTCAGAGTTGTTCTAAATTTTTTCCTCATCGTCAAATATGAACTAACAAGATTAACTTTTATGATTCTTGACACAGTTAGGGTTAGAATTTTAGACACAGACAAAAAATAATACTGTTTTGAAAAACATTCATACCAATAACATTCGTCTCTAAAGTTACACCACAGATAAAAATTGTCGACTGAAACAAAAAATTAATTTTATAGGCAATAAATTTTAGAAATTGCTCTAGGAGCAAAAACGTTTTGAAATTCCAAAATAGGAGTATCATGTTTTTGATTTTCTGAATAGGAGTAATCTGTCTAGTAATGCCAAACTTGGCAGAAATATATTCCTATTCAAGGAATAAAAAACATGATAGTCCTATTTTAGAATTGCAAAATTTTTTACTCCTATTTATTTAGGGAATTCTCTCAATAAATTACCCACACATACAAAAAATGTTTTCGCAATGGTCAAGAAAATTGTTTTTTGTCAAAATCCATTCCACCGGATTTTTTCGTTAAAAGTAATACACAAACAATTAAAATGTCAAATCCAATTTAAAAACTGATGGAGTATATGGGTCCAGGCCTCAGGACCCACATACTCAGAAGAACAGAAGGCCCAACCGTCACCTAGTAGGGTCTCCGTCGGCCATGCCTCCATCGGCCAGGGAGACATCAACCCAGAATATGGTCCAGAAGCCAGGAGAACCGGGTGCCCCCGTCGGCCGGGTCTCCGTCGGCCATGCCTCCGTCGGCCACGCCCTCGTCGGCCACGGAGAACTCACAGAACATGATTTCATACTTAGTCATTTCTACATATCTTGTATTCGGCCCAGTAGCGGTCCAGTTGTAGATGTGCCTCCCAAGCCCAAGACTTGGGAGCCCGACCCACATTTTCTCTATAAATACTCCCTTTGGGAGTAGTTGTAGGGGTTGACAAAATCATTAATTGAAGCATTTACTGCACTTCTCTCTCTAGTTCTCATTTCTCTCTAGGAGTTAATACTGCATCAAAAACAATAAATGTGTATCACAAATATAAATGTTTTCAAACGTTATCACAAATCCTTTCGCTAACAATTTTTGCATATACACGGTTAGGCGAAGGATAAAAATATTTGTTGGCACTCGGTATGTTTTTTCTGTTTGCAGACATTATTTTTTATAAAATTGATTTTTTTGGACTGATATTTTTTCTCGTGTCCTAACATTATATAAGCAAAAATTGTTATGGTGAAAGATTTTGAAAATGCGTATGATAAAAGCATAAACTTTAACTTATTTGGAAACATGTTTTATCTGTATCAGGCATTTATAGTTTAAAATTTTGATTTTTCCGATCGACAGTTTTTGTCCGTGGTTTGCTTTTACCAGAAAAATTACCAATGGAAAGAATTTTGACAATGTCAAAGAGACAATTTTTTGTCATTTCAGTAACTTTTTTTGTCGATGTCGGACATTTATTGCCTATAAAATTGGATTCTTTTGACTAATTTTTTTATCCATAGCGTAACTTTAGAGACAAAAATTAGAAGTGCGACTTTATGCTGCGTCTGAAGTTATAACCCTAGCTAACTGTGTCAAAAGTTATACGAAGTAAAAGTTAACGGTGTTAGTTCAAATTTGACGGTGAAGACCACAATTACAACACTTTGAACATTTACAAACTCAAAAACACGACGACAACATTTCAATATGAGTGGTATTTGAGAAACCGAAAATGCGGTTTTCCCTATTAATAATAAAAATATAAAAATTTAATATTTTCGAAAAATGCATTAAGAAAAATTTAAGAATACTTTATATGTAGTACATAATAATTTGATTATACTTCTTATATATTAGCGGAAAATGATGATCAAGGGAAGATGTGTGAATAATGTTAAGTATTGGAAAACTATCCAAGAATAGGTAAAAATGCATGGGCGATTTTCTTTTATAGGTAGAAATTACTAGTAATAGGTAGAAATGCACGGATAATTTCTTTTATCCAAGAAATTACTAGTGCATATTCCAAGATAAAAAGCGCATTTTCTCCAATTCTTTTCTCCAATTCTTTCTCAAAAGCGGAAAACTATTGCAGCTATATTACTACTAGGTAATACTTCGTATAAAAATAGTACTAGTACTAGGTAGTAGTTTGTGAATAGTAAAAGTTTAGTCAAGTAAAGGAAAGATGAAAGATGGGCGGAAATGCATGAAAAGCTACGTAGAAAAGATTGTTTTTAGAAAAGATGATTAAAGAAGCTTAGGGCAGGGGAAGGTGCTGAGAAATGAAAGCAACAGATAGTTGCGATGGAACGTTGTCATTCGATCTTCGTACTATTGTGCTAAGGCCGGCTAGCTTGCCACCTAATTAATCTTAGTTTCCAAAAAAAATAAAAATTCTTTCATTAAAAGAAAATCTTTCACCTAATTAAGCTAAGTTTCCAACATTATAAATAGCAGCCATTATATATTGTCATTCTCATTCATCATAACTTAATACGGAGTAATTAATAACTTCTTTCAATTCTCTCACGCCCAAAATGGGAATGAGAAAATTCTTGATATGGATTCTAATAATAGCGGATATTGCAGCAGCAGTTTCTGGGCTTATTGCAGGATTAAAGTTTAAGCAACGAGAGGTAAATGAAGTATACTATGCATATACTCCGTGTTTGTGTGTGTATATATAGAGAGACTTAGAGTGGCGTTCATGTCCAGCTGGCCTTAAGGGAATCGCCCTCCGGCCGAGGCCATTAGAGGTCTTTCCCTGTGGAATTTTTTGATGAAATGTTTTGATCATATTTTTCATCAAGTCTAGTTTATGCATGCCGAATTTCAGCTCAAAATTCCATCGGGAAGACAATTAAATAGATTATTGAAACATATTGTGCTTTATATATCTACATAATGCACAGTTTTTTCCCCAACAATTTATTTGACTGCCTTCTCGATTGTATTTTGAGATAAAATTTGATATGCATACACTAGACTTGATAAAGAACATGCTTAAAAAATGTCATCAAAAAATTCCACATGGAAGGCCCCCGAATGGCTTTGACCGGACGACGATTCTCATCAGGCCACGCGGCTGGACATGAAAGATTGTCTTGGCTTGGTTAGACTCAAAAAATAAAGTATCTAGGCTCCCTTTAAGAAAAATAACATCAGTAAGATATCGACGATTTTCAATTGTATCACAACTGATTCATATACTTCGAAAAAGTAAATATAGATATACTCTTCTTCGCGTATCTAAAACTTGATACTCCCTCCGTCCCTTATAACTTTGCCAACTTTTCTTTTTTGGTTGTCCCAAAAAATTTGTTCTCTTTTAATCAATCAATTTGTGGCTCCTGTTAATCAATAAATATAGATTATGGTTGAGCAAGAAAAGAAGGGCCGAACCTTCTGTTGAGGCAAAGAGGTAATTGCCATAAATAATTGTGTAATTGTATTATACGGAGTATATATATACAATTTTTCTATTTTATTAAAATAACAATAATACAAATAACATCAATCAAAACAATATCATGCACTATGTGGGTTTCAATTATTTTATGCAGACATATAAATTAAATTACTGCTTATGAATCGTAATATATCCAACTTTTACATGATTCAAAGGTCTTTTACAAAAATTTGACTCGGACCAAAAAAAATGTTAGGATCGGCTCTGAGCAAAAGGTAAATGAATGGTATTCACACAAAACTTCACAAAATGGGAAATGAGAATTATGTTTTGGGACATCCCAAAATGGAAAGTGAGAACTATTTTATGGGAACGAGGAAGGATATACATAATATACAACACATTGCACACAATTATGTATAACACATATTAATATTGATCATTAGGTCATAATAATTGAAAATAATCCCGACATTATTAATAAAAAGTTACGTTTTATTTTAATTTCTAAACTTGCATTGATTATATTCAATCATGCATGCAGCTAGCATCTCCGGTTTGGATCATAGCCATCTCTGCTTTTGTGGTTGCTCATGTCGCTCTAGCTGTTCTACCCTGTTGCATTAATCGCGATCCGTCAAAGGCTGGTGGCCAGTTTATTGACGAATGTTGCAGCTCCCCTCCGGTTTTTATGTGGCTCGCATGGTATATACCACACAACACCCTGATGACCATCATTATGTTTAATTTGCTATTTTTAGAATGTATTGTAAAAAATATATACACTCACAAATTTTAAAAGTATATTCCTACAAATGATTTTTTAACACATTAATAAATAGGTTTAAATACATCTTTTGTCTCCACAAATATGAAACTTTTTATTTTGAATCCCTACAAAATATTGTTTTTCTGTGTCTCATCCCTGTAATCTGTGCTATTTTTGTTTTACTCCATCTTCAACTCGGAAACCACTCTATTTAGAAAAAAATATTGTTGGTTGCATAAATTCACCAGGAACTTTTAAATTTATTTTTTATAATTGTTTTAAGGCTAATATGACAATTAAAATAACATAAATTTAATTATTCACATTTTAAAAATATGTATTACACGTTTCAAAAGATAGATCAAATACTCTTTGAATAAAATGATAAATGATTAGATGAAACCTATCTATCGAGGTTGTTTTCTTCTGAAACAGAGGTTGTTATCATCGGTGAAGGACTAAAAATAAAATCAACTTAAATTTCATAGATGAACAATTAAAAAATTATTTTGCAGGGATGTAAAACAAATATACTATATTTGCAAGGACTAAAGATATATTTAACCATAATAATTGTGATCAAATAAATATGTTCTCTGATCCTAAGGTAGGCCTAAAACTTGTAATTTTTAGGCCTCTTTCATTTGAGATCCTTACCGACCGAATATTTTTATTAAATTTTGTAAGCATGTTCTCCATTAAATGTAGAATATCTCCACCAATATTTAGATTAAAATTCAAACGAGAAGTAAGTTAAATAAATTATTGAAAAACTGCATTATATACACACACACACAAATATTCACCTCCCTCGAGTTCGGAGGAAGGCCCTGTCCAGCCACCTCAATTTGAGGTGGTTCATCCATACTAAATTTGAACAAAAAATTCAACCGAGAAGATCGTCAAATGAGTTTTTCATGAAAACTGCGTTTTATGTGTATATTCCGGACCAGTTATCATGCAAAAATCATTTGACGACCTTCCCGATTGAATTTTTTGCTCAAATTTCGTATGGATGAATTAGACTTGATGTGGAACAGACACAAAAAATTTCAGCCAAAAATACCCCCGGAACCACCTCAAATCGAGGTGGCCGGAGGAGCCTCCTCTCCGGCCGGTTCGGACAGGAAGATAACTCTCTCTCTCTCCCCCCCCCCTCTCTCTCTCTCTCTATATATATATATATATATATATATATATATATATATATATATATATATATATATGATAGTATATATATAACTGAAGGCCGGATTGAACAAATGTGAGTTTGATTCATGAAAATTTGGGTGTCCGTGCAGGCTTTGTTGCATTGTAGGAGCTGTATTTTTTGTGGCAGCACGTACCGGCCTTGTCATTATCCTTGGAGGAGTTTCATTAGGCATTCTTGATCCGCTCTTTGCCTGGCTATATACTACAAATCTCTACGATTTTCATCATCATCGTCATCATCTAATGTATAGCGAAATCTATAAATTATAAGCTAATTAATCCCATATTAAAATTAGCTATCCTAGTAGCTAATTAACGTCGAATCATGTGTTTTCGCATTCGCTATTCAATCCCACTTTAATACGTACTTTACCCATGTTTGTTTTTGTTCACTAAATTAATCAATCACGAATTGAAGGACATTTAATTGTATGGTTTCGCCTATATATGTCGCTCACTTCTTATCTTCGAGCTAGAGCTACACATTTATATCATTGGTTTTTCAATACGCATTACCATTTAGTGTAATGAAATTGTATCTTTAACCATCATGTCGTGTTAGTACTAAGTAGATCCTTAACCATGTTGGTGTTGTCTTTATATTTTCGTTTGTGTGAAATCATTCAATTCCAATCTCAAAAGTGAGCTAGACCACCTTTTTGATTTAATGATCAAAGAATTGATCGAGAAATATTTTGATTCTAGGAGCAATAGAATTCTATCATATCATCACTAACGTCCACCTTACTAACATCCTAACATGATTGATGAAATTAGCATTTAAGAATACTCTCTCCATGATATCTCAAAATGATATTAAGTAAAAAAATTACTAATTACTTAGACATAAAAAATTAAGATTTTTTTATATAATACATACAACATTTTATTATAAGATCATATAAGAATATTCTTATTACACTACATTTAAAAACACTTGTCAATTTGTAACAAAGATAAAACCAATCAAATGCACCAGTAGATGACCCTTAGCTTCCCTGATATATATATTCAATTCCACAGCTTTTTAGTCCATGCTTGAAAATTTTGAAATCAAAGAGAACTCTATATCATATACGTAGTACATATCATGAGGTCGCTTTGCATTAAATTGGAAAAAAAAAATATAATCAATATATATATATATATATATATATATATATATATATATATATATATATATATATATATATATATATATATATATATATATATATATATATATATATATATATATATATCAAAAGGTCCAAGTTAACACCCAAAGTTAGTAAGAATCCATTTCGATATCAATTCTTAGATGGCCATAGATTATTCAAAGACCGCTTAGATATATAACACCGTTTAGATATCACCAATGATGTCCTATTAGCGTTCGTTTGTGTCCTGCTAAGTAATGGGTCAAACTCATTCAGGCTCAATCGTTGGACAAATATCAACTAATGTTAATTACAATGCTCAATCCAAGGCACATAAAAATCAAGAGCACAAACTAATAATGCCCACAAATCCACAATTCTTATTTAACAACTAGTTTCGCAACGCGCGTTGCGCGTGTGAGAATTAATGAAAAAAAGTACTCCTGTAGGAGTCCTAACAGATATATTTATATAGAAGAGTTTGAGTCATACAAGGAAACAAGTTTCTTAATAATATTCTATTACATTCCCTCAAACTGTGCGGGAAATACAACGCTCAGGTTGTCTTTTAAAAAATGAAACTGCTGACTAGAAAGACTTTTAGTAAAAATATCAGCTAACTGTAACTGTGTAAGGATGTACTTCACAACTAAGTCTCCATGATCCACACGCTCTCTGAAAAAATGATAATCAATCTGGAAGTGCTTGCTACAAGCATGTTCTCAAAAAATAACTTAACTGGAACTTTACCGGGAAACCAAGCTCAAAAAAGACATAACGAATATGTAAAGTGTCCTGAACAGTATACCCAACAGCTCGATATTCTGCTTCGGTGGAGGACTTGGAAACGGTAGGCTGCTTTTTGGACTTCGACGACACAAGGTTAGGTCCCAAAAACACTGCAAAACCAGTCGTGGAATGAGATGTATCTGGACAGCCTGCGCAATCCGCATCTGAATAGGCAATAATGCAGGTAGTCTGAGTAGTTGGCTGAAGCCATAATCCATGATCAAGTGTCCCCTGTAAATACCTAAAAATACGTTGGACTGCAAACAAATGAGTAGTACGAGGGGCATGAATAAACCGAGACACTAAATGCACAACATAGTTAATATCAGGTCGTGTCAAAGTTAAACATTGTAACGCACCAACCATACTTCTATACTCAGTGGCATCTGCAAGAAGATCCCCATCAGTAAGAGACAGAGAAGTGTGAGTAGTAAGTGGGGTACGAACAGATTTAACGGTGTGGAGATGGAAACGAGAGAGAAGATCAGAAACATATTTATGCTGGGATAGAAATAAACCTTTAGTGTTACGCACAGCCTGGACTCCTAAAAAATAGTGAAGATCGTCGAGATCTTTCATAGCAAAATGCTTAGCAACAAGCTGAATGAAGGAATTAATAACAGCGGAAGAATTGCCAGTAATAGTTATGTCATCTACATATAATAATAAATAAATGACATTATTATTCTGGTGATAAATGAATAACGAATTATCAGACTTGTTGCACGTAAAGTGATGAGACAATAGAAAGCTGCTAAAACGATGAAACCATGGACGTGAGGTTCGCTTAAGACCATAAATGGCTTTTTGCAGTTTACATAAATGGTTAGGAAACAAAGGGTGTATAAAACCCCGCGGCTGACGCATATAAACTTTCTCTGTGAGGTAACCATGCAAAAATGCATTTTGGACATCCAATTGACGAATGACCCACCCAAAAGAAATAGCTAAAGTAAGTACAATACGAACTGTGGTGGGTTTAATGACTGGACTAAATGTTTCAGAGAAATCCACACATGCCTGTTGATTAAAACCTTGAGCAACCAAACGTGCTTTATGGCGCTCAATGGAACCATCTGAATTGTATTTAGTTTTATAAATCCACTTCGAGCCCACAACATTTTTAGTATTATCAAAAGGGACTAAACCCCAAGTATTATTAGAAATAAGAGCATTAAATTCCTCAGCCATGGCCGCACGCCATTTAACTGTTCATTAGTCTCTGAAAAACATGTAGGATCGGCTGATAAAACAACAATGTTTAAATTTAAAATGATTTTGGGTTTAAAAATTCCCGATTTTGCCCTCGTCTGCATGGGATGAATATTTATGACGGTGTCAGAAATAGCGGAAGGGGAGGGTATGGTATCCGTGGATGTAGCTGACGAGGGATTGGGGATGGTTGAAACGGGGGAGTTATTCAGGGACACGACGGAGGGAATGGGTGGGGAATTTGGTGGATTGTTTGGTGCCACTACTAGAAAAATGCCTTACAGTGACACCAAATTAGTGTCACTGAAAGTTTCTGTGACACTAAAAAAGTGTCGCTGAAAGTGGGGGCTAGTGACACTACGAGTGAAACTTTTTAAGTGTCACTACAAGTGTCACAGAATTGTGACACTACGATATCACAATATAGTGACGCGTTGGCGACATAGCTATTCGGCGACACTTTTACATCATATACTCTAGTGACACGTAAGTATCACAAAATAGTGATACCTTGGCGACACTACGGTATTACAAAACTTGATGACACGCTAATACTATGAAATCATACACATGATACATTGATTACAATCATAATTTAATACTAATAAATAACCAAACGTTCAAATATTTTTATTTATATCTCAAATTCACACGTAAATGTGATTGTACATTCTACATAATTCATAGGGACATAGCACGAAACAATAAGGAAAAACTTCATAAATTCCTACAAACACAAAAACAAAATTCCTAGTTTTGATCTTAAATGTTTTTCCAAGAATATGCTCCACAACCAACTCTAATGATTCAAATTCTTTCTATAAATTATTTTGTAGTATCACAAACAAATCACCAAAAGCAAAAATCAGCTGCACCTTCCTCCTCGATCACAAGCATTAAAACCTCATTTTCAAACACACACACACACACATATACACATACACACACACATACATTACAATATGAACTTCAAGCACCTAACCTACTTTTCCCTACTACTAGTTAGTAAACAAAAACATCTACTCCTCATTCTATAAATAGATTTAAGGTTAGGGTATTATATTCTAAAAAAAACAGATTTGGTTTCAAAATGTCCTCATTTTTAGGTTAAAAAACTACAAATTAAAATTAAAGGAGGTAAAGATAGAGGTGTCGAGTTAAAGATTGAGTACCTGCTGGCTAGCATCTCCATTCATCGGCTGGTAATCCCAAAAGAAGGAGAAAAAACATCGACTCCGTCCGTCAATTAGCTAGGGCGGGGGCCAGGTTGCAAGGAACAAGAATAACCAGATTACTGGTGAAGTTGATTGATTTCCGATTAAAACTAAACCAACTTAGATGATATTATTGAAGGATGATGGACGAGACGAAGGACAAATTACACACCTGAAATAGATGATAATCGTTGATGAAGAAGAACTAGCGAGGAGACGCGCGATGTCAGGCGATCGGACCAAGAACGACGGCCATCGATCGAGCTCGTGAAGAAGAGATAGGGTTCGCAGAACACGTAGAAGGAGATTTAGTTTATGGCCGGTAAGAAAATATTGAAGTGTTAATATGCTTAGAAAACAATGCCCAAAGGCCCATAAGTAGAGTCGTTCAAATACTCTGTAAAAATTAAATCTTCAAGTGTCACTATTTGAGACCTATATATTTTTGTTAGAAAATAGTGACACTTTTGTGTCATTAGTGTCATTATATTAGAAAGTATCACTATAAAAGTGTCAATGTAAGCCTGTTTTCTACTAGTGTGCGGTGGGTGAGGGTAACGAAGAAGATGAGTGTTCGGCTGGAGGTGACTGGGACACGGCTGGGTTGGTGGGGTCCGGGACCGTAGGGACAGGTAGGAGGGTAGTTTCGGTTATGGTGGGGGCAACATGGTCGAGAGAAACAGTGGAGGTAGTGGTAGGGAGAGTGAAGTCATTATTAAGAGGAGGAGAAGAAGAAGTAGTGGTGGTCGGAGAAGAAGACAATGTGGCGTACGGAAAAATATTTTCATGAAAATGAACATGTCTACTAATAAAAACTTTGCCAGACTTAGGCTCAAAATAACGATATCCTTTAAAACCGGACGCATAGCCAAGAAAAACACATTGAACGGAGCGGGCAGAAAGTTTGTTGGAAGGAGATGCAGAAAAATTGGGATAACAAGCACACCCAAACACGCACAATAAGCTATAATCAGGAGGTTTTTGAAAAAGAATATTATATGGGGAAACATCATTCAGATTAGGAGTAGGAAGTCTATTAATAATATATGCAACTGTAAAAATGG